AGCTCTGATGGTGTATTTTCTTTTTTCCAATATTGTGCATAAGTTATGCGCGCCGCAGTTATTAGATGTATAATTAAATAAAATGATGTGCTTTTACTTTGCTCCAAAGCATGTCTCTGCCTTTTTCCTCTTGGCTAATAATCTTTTCCTTCCTCTTGCTGCGATATCTTGGCCTTCCATCGTGTTCCACAGAAGGGCATTGCAGTTGCCCCATCTCGGTCTCTGGAGGGGGAGAGCCCTCGGGGGGATCTCTGCCCTGCAGTCCCCAAAGCTTGACGTCATCCTCTGGCTTCTACACACACAACGCCTACGACAGCTGCAATGGGCATTCCCCACCTGGAACGGCCAGCCATCACGTCAGCCCGGACTCCGCCACCTCCGGCTTCTCAGGATCGCTTTTCTCTGGATCAGCCCTCTCAGGCGTTTCTAACCAGCGGGAGCGTGGTGGGCTTCTCTCACCCAGCAGTGAGTACTTACTCCAACTTTGGAGGGAGGCAAAGAGAAGCAAGCCAAGCATTGTTAAATATGGCAGCTTCCCGGTTCACCGACAAATGCGCGCTCGACAAAACCGCGGCGAGAAAACCGCAAGGTCGAAAGCGCGCCCACAGAAGCGCGCCAACAAATGCGCGCCATCAAAAAACAACGAAAACAACGTAACAACCCTAACCCTTACCTTAACCCTAATCGCGCTTTTGTGGGCGCGGGTTTGTCGGCGCTCTTTTGTGGGAGCGCTTTCAACGTCGCGGATTTCTCGACGTGGTTTTGTCAGCGCGCATTTGACAGGTCACGCAGCTTCCCACATTGGAAATTACATGCCACAATCCGTCCACCATTCCATCCCCTCCCTTCTTAACCAAACTTCCTTAAAGTTGTGGCAGCACATTATCCCTGAATGAAAACTCCTCCTTAGCTCTGATTTCCATATCATGGTGACACCCCCCCTCCCAAAAAAAAATGATGCTAGAGCAGCATTTCCATTCTAGAGGGGAGGTATGTGTGCTTTTGATTCCAATTCCGTACAATGGTTCTTGTTTGTTATCTCTGTTCTTTTCTACCATGTCCGCGCAGCTTTTGGCACTTCTGAATTCTTGGTGAACCCTTTGGAACCCCAAAACGCAGACAAGATCAGAGTGAAGATTGCAGATCTGGGCAATGCTTGTTGGGTGGTGAGTAATTCATGCATATCTCTTTCCCCTCCCCAATAACGGTGGCTGCCTGTAGGGAATGGGAAATTAGGGTTGTGTTGCAAAAGGTATCTGGCTTGTTTAGGAAGTTACAAAATGGAAAGTCATGAAAATTCCTATAGGAAGAATAAGGAAAACTTTTACCCTGAAGGGGAGAAATGGTATTAACAGAGTAACAGAATAATAATAATAGAGTTGGAAGAGACCTTGGAGTCCCAACCCTGTGCTCAGGCAGGAAATCCGATAGCATTTCAGACAAACGGTTGTCCAATCTCTTCTTTAAAATTTCCAGTGTTGGAGAACCCACAACTTCTGGAGGCAAGTCGTTCCGCTCATTGTTCTCACTGTCAGGAAATTTCTCCTTAGTTCTGTGTTGCTTTTCTTCTTGATTTGTTATGTGAAGGGAAATACTTAGAGACATAGAGTTGATTTTCTTCCAATTCTGTTCGTTTTAGCCCTTGTTTATATCTATGTGTTTTATTTATATTCATCAGCACTCCTCTCATATACGCTTTGCTTGCATCCCATATGAATTCCATCGATGTACCCTTATTCATATTCAAAACAAAATATTCAGATAACAATTTTTTACAATCATTAATATACTTTTCATATCTAAATAAGTTTTCATTCAATCTC